TGTACATAACTAATTGCTGCTCCTGTTTCAGTGCTTTCTCACTTAGTAATATCGTGGTCTGTTTGTACTTGGTTAGGAATTCTTTCACTTTCTCTCACTTCCTGAAATCTCTCAGTCTGTCTACGAAAGTCCTCTCTATGATCAAGCTTCCAGCCACTTTTCCAAACGTTCCCACAAAGGCCTGCAACTATTCATTTCTTCCTAGCAGTACATGGACTTTTTCTTCCCTACTGTGTAAGTGGAGTTGTGAGAGGATGAACTTTTGAATATGTTGGTAGTTGGAATGAAACAAAAGTGACCTGAGAAAAGGTTTTGTCTGATCTTTCATCTCTGGTGTTAGAGAGGCCAAAACGTCAGGTTTTTTTTCTCTGAAGTAGAGATTTACACCATGGGTTTTACAGTGAAGTTAAATAATTTAATGAATTATCTTTGAGATTATTGACTCACTTTGGATTCTGACGTCCATGATCTTCTCTTCAGCTCCAAGTTGATTAACAGCTGAACATTTATATACTCCAGTATTTTTGATTGTAGCATCAGAAATACGGAGGACTCCTGGAGGATTAATCACAATATTGCTTTGTTTGGGCTTTTCCCATTTCACTGTTGGCTGTGGATTTCCTTGGCTGTCACATTGTAATATAATAGTGTCACCTTGGCTGAAATAGACTGGAGACTCGGTGATACTTTTGTTATTTGCTAATAGAGCTGTAATTATTGGTTTATCTGTAAAAGAAAACGATTTGAAATTAGGAGAAAAGCCACTTTCAGTTAATTTTGTTAAAAAGCAATAATATCTTGATTTAATTTAAATGCTTTGAACGTGTGCGATGTGTGAAATAATTCTGTGCCCAGGTTTCTGCCATTGTGCAAAATTGCCCAGAACTGACTCTCTGCTTCTTTCTAATGAGAGTTTGCTGCAGAGGTTTGGGCCACCTGGAATGTGGGATTTCAATCTGGATCCTGTTAACCTGCAAAACTCCACAATGATCCCACCAATGCAGCAAACTGTTGCTCTACTTGTTTATAATTTTCCCCAAGGAAGGCTTGAATTTATTTAACAAAGAGGACCTTGAATAGACATCTGAAATCTCTGACATACACAAAAGTTATCCTGAAGGACACTGACAATGATATAGCTAAATTGAACTGTCTGTGGATTACTTATGGTGAGTCTATTGCAAGAGGGATTGTTGTGTGAGGAAGTGCGGCTGTGGCTGAAGAATTGGATAAGTCTGTAAAAGATGGACTTAGGAACTTTATCAGAGATATTTCAATTACATAGGAGGCCATCATATATCATGAACTGTATTATTTTGAATGGTTTTCCGAGATGGATTTCCCAGTGTTCCTGTGATGAGAAAAGAACATGGCGGCAGAAAGTGTTTTTCAGAAAGCAGACACATGGGAACACCATCACCTTCAACTTCCCCTCCAAACCATTCATCATCCTGACTTCGAAATATCTCGCTATTCCTTCAGTGTCACTGGGTCAAAAACCTGGTATTCCCTCCCTAAGTGCATCATGGGTCAACCCATACAAATGGACTGCAGCGGTTCAAGAAGGCAGTTTCTCAAGGGCAACCAGGGATGGGCAATAAATGCTGGCCAGCCAGCGACACCCATGTCTCCAACTGAATTAAAAAGAAAGTATTTTGATGTATTTTTGGTTGGGTTTCTGCTGCTGACTGTTTGCAAGTATTTTCTTGTGTATAGTCTTTGTTTTTGCTTACAACATATTCATTGTTCTGTTAAGAACATTCTTAATTGTCATTTGTTGCTTTATAAGACTTTCTGAAGAAATGTCTAGGCCCAAAACGTCAGCTTTCCTGCTCCTCTGATGCTGCTTGGCCTGCTGTGTTCATCCAGCTCTACACCTTGTTATCTCAGATTCTCCAGCATCTGCAGTTTCTACTGTCTCTGAAACAAAAGGTTTTACTTAGGCTCCTTCACATAATCATAAATATACATTCCAAAATAGTTATGGATCAACCTATAGGTTGATCTATAGTTTAGAGGAATTAGAGGAAAAGATTTAAACCAATTTCAGGCAGTAAAAGCAGACCTCCTTATCATTACAGGGAAAAATGAATCATAGATACAGAGATTAGCAGACATTGGAGTGTGGATTGAATGAACACATTAAGACACAACTCGTTAGCTAAAGAATTCTAACATTAGGTGTAACCACATGCCTTTGTTGGAACTGATCAAAAATCAATATTTGTTTGTATTTCCTGTAATGAGGAATTTAAAAGGTCCTGCAGTAATTGGCAAGTATCCAATTAATTAGCAGTTAACATGGTGAAGCTGACAAATGTTACTTGAATACAGTATTCATTGTGAAAAGCCTCAAGAAGGGAGATAAAAGTCTGGAAAACATCATGAAGGACCAGGGGTGGACCACAAGCCTGTTCATCTCTTTGTCATTATGATTAGCTTAATTGGAAATACATTGAAATTGCTGATTTAAGACATTGTATCAGAGAGCCGTTTACAAAGGGATAACTCAGCATTGCTGACCAATCGTAAACAAAGGATGGGGGCAACCAGATGTGTGCACTCTGAGCTTGAAGTGTATAAGTTATGACATTCAGAAGCTTTTTGTGTGCCTTATTACTCTGAGAAATGAAGCTATACTGAAAAACAAAGCTGCAATAAAGGTTACCTGATACATCCCACCGGACTCGGACTCTCATTGGAAAATATGAGATCTAACACTTCTCCCCCTGAATTGAAAGTGATTTTTCTTTCCTATTAAAAAAATCAAGATATTGCAGGTCCTGAAATTTAAAAGTTTTTAAAAAATGTAAATATTTGAAATACTCAGCAACTGAAGAATTTCAGGAGAGTAAAACACAGTTAATATTTCAGGTCCATGAAATTTCTGATCTGCTTTTCAGACCTGTATATCCAGTGTTTTTAGTTTTAAAATATCAGCATCTTCTTTCAAAACAGGAGATTTCAGTGTGATCCTAAACTTTAATGATACAAGCCCCTTATTGCTGTATTTACAACATTGAGACAAATCCACAAACCCTGTGCAATTGGAACTTACAGTAGGTTTGCAGAGTGACAGAGGAGTTTGTAATTGACATTGTGGTGTTAGAGCCCAAGTCCACTTCAGCCAAGCAGGTGTACTCCTGTCCATCATCTGACAGACTTGCGGTGAAATTGAAGACATTTCTCAACCTGTTATCTTCATCCGGAAGACCTGGTTCTTCTGTAGAACTTCTCTGAACAATCTCACTCCCTCTCATCCATGTGAGAATGAGTTTGTTGTTTGGATAGACTCTTGGTCCAATGCACTCCAGACTATATCTTCTGTTAACCTCCAGCACTTCAGGGAGCAATGTAATGTTTATCTCTCGATCTGTTAAAGGAGAATCACAGTTAACAGGATTCACAGAAATAGAGGACCATAGGACCTCATTAGAGAGAGAGGCTGGTGCTGTTTTAACCAGAGGATCATCACACCGCAGGTGATGGGAGAGGTTGAAAAGGAGAGTCTTTCATGATAACCTCAGTGGGAAATAATGTAGCTGAGCACCATGAAATCCTGCCCTTCCCAATTATTCACCCTCACCCAATGTTATACAATGGTGTGCCAATCAAAACATTTGAGTCAATCACATTTATACTTTGCCATTCATTATTCCTCATTATGAATCGGTACATTGACTTGATTTGGAGACTTCTCAGTTTGCACAGTGCTCAAACTGATACTCTGATTATAAAACTGAAATCATTACCGATATCATTAGCATTATTAAAAGTACCTATCAATTAAAAGATTTCCAACTGATGCTCACTGAAACAACTAACAATAAAAATTGGCATTTTACAGAGGATCCGGACATTACTGTATGTTGTTCACATGGTTAAACTCAAATTTGAAGGATATTGTTTATTGACCTGAACGGGAGGGAAGGAAATCTCACTACCTTTAAAAAGTATGAGGACCAGCCCTTAAAATGTCACAACATTCAAGGCTATGGGCCAAGTGCTGGAAAGTGGGATGACTGTCAATAGGTCTGTGCAAACTCAATGGGCTTAAGGACTGTATGACTCGCTGAAATTTTCCACCACTGAAATAAGATGACAATGTGTTTATTGTGCTGCTAAAGAATCTGTTCAGGTAAGGAAAATATTGACTTTATTTAAGAAGCATCTTACCATGGCTGCATCCTGCCACAACTTTGTCTGAATGCTCAATATTGTCAGATTGTACCAGTTCCTGGGATGATCTGTGTTGTGTCTCATAAGCAAATCATACAGTCATGGATCCTTTACATTGCAACAATGAGTGAGTGAGTGACTGTTTACACAATCTATATTGGATACAAATGAGCTACAAAACCTGATCAATTCTGTTTACCTGAAGATCTCTTTTGAGGTTATTTAGAATTAAACTAGGACATCCAGTATAGAATAATCTCTAGCCACATCCTTACCCTTGGGTGCTGCAGTGATACTGGACAGTGATGATGTCCTTACCCCTGATCCATCTGTGTAGGGAACACTGCTCATACATCCATACTACACCATTCCCATGCTTTTCCCAAAAGTTAAATCAAATGCATTAAAGGTGAAAACATAGAAATGTTGAATAGTAGAAAAATTAGCTATACAAAGGTAGTGATTACAAAATGCACAAGTACAGAGGTAAAAGTTGTAAAATCTATATTAAAGAAGTCTAACAGTTTACATATTGTTGGTGTAGCGTAGTGCTGGTGGTGTGTGCACTCTTCCAACTCTTATAGAGTCACAGAGCTGTAAAGCGCGGAAACAGACCCTTCGGTCCAACTTGTCCATGCCAACCAGATATCCTAGAATAAACTAGTCCCATTTGCCAGCATTTGGCCCATATCCCTCTAAATCCTTCTTTCTCATATACCCATCCAGATAACTTTTAAATGTTATAATTGTACCAGCCCCCACCACTTCCTCTGGCAGCTCATTTCCTACAAGCACCACCCTCTGCGTGAAAAAGTTGTCCCTTGGGTCTCTTTTAAATCATTCTCCTCTCAACTTAAACCTATGGCCTCTAGTTTTGGACTCCCTTATCTTGGGGAAAAGACTTCGTCTATTCACTCTATCCATGCCCTTCATGATTTTATAAACCTCTAAAAGATCACCCCTCAGCCTCTGATACTTAAGGGAAAATAGCCGCAGCCTATTCAGCCTCTCCCTATAACTCAAACCCTCCAACCTGGCAACATCCTTGTAAATCTTTTCTGAACTCTTTCAAGTTTCACAACATCCTTCCTATAGCAGGGAGACCAGAATTGCACACAGTATTCCTGAAGTGGCCGAACCAATGTCCTGTACAGCCGCAACATGACCTCCCAACTCCTACACTCAATGCACTGACCAATAGGTCTTGTGACAGTGTTACCTCCTTGAGCTGTGGATTTCACTTTGGCTGTTTAGTCAGCATGATGATTGGTATATCTGCTGTTCAGTCACATTGTCATCGCCTGGTTGTGCTGATTCATGTCTATTGTGAATAATTGGTGCCTTCCCTTAAATGGTTTCTGTTCCTGCCCAGTGTTGTTTTGTTGGGTATTGTGACTTCATTAGACCTAGGCTAACAGTGCATTCTGAATATCTCTGCATGTAACTATGTTCCCCTTGCAGGGTATGTGACTCAGACTGTTAGTGCTACGTAAATAGTTCCAGTATGTAATGCAGACTGGTCATGCACTTCCTTCATGGTAACTCAAAATGTCAACTCTGTTTCTCTCTCCACAGATGCGGCCAGACCTATTGGGTTTCTACAGCATTTTCTATGCTCATTTGAGATTTCCAACATTTGCAATACTTTATTTTCATTACTATCTTTGTCCTTCCTAGTTCTTGGGAAGCATCTTTCTCACTTGGTTTCCGAGCGTGAACTCTCTGGTGTTGGTAACTCCATATTCAGTGGTGTAGCTCTGAGATATAACATGGCAACACCAAAATCTTGATTCATTTTCCTACTGGTCAGGATGGACCATTCACTCAGCAAAACTGTCAGATCTGGGGTAATGTAATGAGGATATCACATAGTTCATACACAATGTTACATTGAGATCCCTGAAAGATCTGCCCCTATACTGCATCCCGTTGTTGAGAAGAATTTCTTCAGGTGCACAGCACACACTGAATATGGCCCTCAATGTATCTGCCATGGACCAACTGAAGTGTCCTTTACTTGTCTGACAACTGGAAATTCTGAAGAACAATCGACAATTAAGATAAAATCTTCTCTATTCCTGGTAAGTGGATCCATGGCAATTTTGGAGCAAGGAACAGATGAGTGTAGAAGTCCTGTACATTGCTGTGACTGGTGGCTCTGGTAATTCTTAGACATTCTCACTAACTAGTCACTGTCACTATTAATCCTGGGCCAATAGACTGTATTACATGTTGGTCATCTTGTCCATTCTATGCACAAGTGTCCTTGGCATAGTTGTGGTAATATGTCGCTGGTGGGAAGTTTCAGGGTTAAGTCCTTACTTTCCTTCAAAAGTAACACATTTGAGATATCAATCTCCTTAGTAAGATCAAAGGTGCCTGAGAGTGATACCTTTGTATCCTGTCAGGGCATACTTCAATGATAACTGTCCGCTGCCTTACACAGTGCATGGATATTGAGGTGGACAAGTTGCTCAAGAAGTGTCTGTTTGTAGATCCACTGGAAAGTCTGCATCTTGGACTGAGTTTGCCAACCAGCTCAGCATGTCCAAAGTGTCTATGTGGCAATCTAAATGATTGGTAATCCTATTGCATTCCAGGCCATCCAGCTCACATTTAAGCTTCTTAGTATGTGAACACTACACATCTGTAACATGCAGCCCAACATCGCCTTTAAAACTTCCTCTGGAATGACCCAATGTGAGTCTTGGTCTCTTCTGCTGCCCTGGGTACCTCAATGATCTCAGGGAAAGGCATAAAGTCAAGATCCAGACAGGCTGATGGTTCTGCCATTATTGGCTCAACCAGCTAAAATATTTGTGGTCTCTATGCCAAATTGCCGTAGCTGCATTGTGTTGACAATGTGTCAGTGCAATGAGTGGGTAAACCAATATACACAGTTAATTTAGTAGTTATCAGTTGAGCTATTGAATTTCAATGATCCTGATCCATGTCCTTCAGAATTCAGACTGATGGGATATCACACCCACTCTCGTGTCAGTCTTGATTTGCAGTGGTGTTTGCCAGCTTTGCCTGGGAAAACGTTGTTTGTGGCAAAAACTTCTAGTGAGTTGTTTTGGTCCCACAGTGTGTTGCATTTACAATGTGGGAAGCCTGTTCATTCATTGATTGAAAGATGTTCTATTCTAACACCACACCTGAAAGTTGCCCTCCAAGCCACTCACCATCCAGACTTGGAAATATATTGCTATTCCTTCACTGTTGCTGGATCAAAATTCTGGAATTCCCTCCCTAAGGGTACTGTGGCTCTACCCACAGCAGGTGGACTGCAGCGGTTCAACAAGACAGCTCACCACCACCTTCTCCAGGGCAACTACGGACGGGCAATAAATGTGTACACAGGCTTCTTGTGCACCTCTTGCTGCCATTGCTGTATTGCTGTGCTTGTTTTCTGTCTGTTCTTTTCCTACTTAGCCTGTATGCTTGGAGCTACATTTCTGGATATGAGGGACCAGTGCCCTCTAGTACCACACAGATCTTGTAATGTAGGATAGCTTTGCGCTAGCAGCAGAGCACACAGTTTGCTTGTTTTTTTCTGTCCGTGCTAATACTGTTGGCTGTGTACCTAGTTCTTACCATTGTCCAGCCACAATGGCTTCATATTTTCTGCCATCTGCCAGCAGCGAATCAATGATGTGACCTTTCCTTTTCCAAGAGGTCTTTTCGGAATGTTTTGATATGTGCTGAGACAATTACCAACTTCATTGTCTGCTCCAACAATATGACAAAAAACTAAAACGTACAGTAGAGTGATCTCTTGACACATCATTGTCTATGATGCTAAAAAACTGAAATGACTGTGACCTCTGGTCATGTGAGGACATCTGCCCTTTGCCCAACTTCAGGAACCTGTCAGTTACCTCATTCTACATTTGGCTATCATTTGTCTTTACCATTCCTCTGTATTTGTCGTTACCATCCCTCTATCATTTGTCCTCACCATTCCTCCATATTTGTCCTTACCATCCCTCTATCATTTGTCCTTACCATTCCTCTGTATTTGTCCATGCTCCATAATTCCAACTGAGCTCATTTCCTCACTTTGTGTGTAAAGTGGTTTTGGATGTCATTGCAGATTATAAACACATTCAGATTCCTTTAGCCAAGCACTTTCTGCACAGCCTTAAACATTTAAATTATATCATCATTGTATTTTATTTCTTAATATAAAAGCTTTTACTTACCGTATACAGTTATCTGTTCTGATATTCTGTCATGCTGTGATGAGCATTCTATGTAACATATTACTGAGAAAGACCACGACTGGATACTTGTGAAATTAATCCAGACCCACTGATCACTTTCTATTTTTGGATTATTTCTTGATCCTTCAATTACTATGTGAGGTGCTGCACATGGTGTACTGCAGTTCACCACCAAAGAGTCTCCAAACGCCACAGCCGGGGGGTTTGCATTGATCTGTATCTCCAATTCAGTCATTTTTTCCACTGTGGGTACATATCACAGTAAATATCATGATTTAGAATTCATTAAGAATATAGACAATTCTGAATAAATGTCTGCACGGGTTTACAGTTGAATAAATGAAAAATGAGCAGGAGTAGGCCATTGGGGCTCCTCAATAAGTTCATGGCTGACCTCATCACTTCACATTCCTGCCTATTCACAATAACCTTTCACTCCCTTCCTTACCAAGAATCTATCCAGCTCTACCTTAAACACATTCAAACACTGTTCATGAACAGAAATGCAAAAGATTCATGACACTGTAAAAGAAAAACATTTCCCTCATCCCTCTCTTTAAAATGGGTGACGCTTGATTTCTAAACAGTCACTGCTAGTTCTAGGTTCTTCAATAAGCGTGAAGGTCTTCCTCATATTCACACTATCAAGGCACCTCAGGAATTTATATGTTTCAGTTAAAGTACCTCTTACTCTTCCAAATCCCAGGAGATTCAAGCCCAGCCAGTTCCACATTTGCTCATTCCTGATTTTAGTCTGATCAATGTTCTGTGAATTGTTTCAAACACATTGACATCCTTTCTTAAATAAGGGGACCAATCCTGTTCCCTGTACTATAGAAGCCAGTGCCCTCTAGAACGGAAGCATAAGCTTCCTACTTTTGTATTCAAGTTCCCTTGCAATAAATGACAACATTCTATTAGTTTACCCAATTACTTTCTGTACCCTCATATGAACCTTTTAAAATTCATGAACTAGGATGCATCTCACAGTTCTGTAAATCTCTCACCATTTAGATACGCTTCTTTTTTTTAATCTTGTCTGGGGCAATATGCTCGAAATCAAGCCCCATTATTCCTGGATCTGCCACAAATGGTAAGTTTTTTTTAAAGTATGTAAAGTTCCTGGATTTACCTCGGAGATAGTAAGAACTGCAGATGCTGGAGTCAGAGATAACAAGGTGTAGAGCTGGATGAACACAGCAGGCCAGGCAGCATCAGAGGAGCAGGAAAGCTGACGTTTTGGGTCGGGACCCTTCTTCAGAAATGGGGGAGGGGCAAGGGAGTTCAGAAATAAATAGAGAGAGGAGGGGTGGGGCTGGGAAAGGTAGGTGGGATGGTGATAGGTCAGTGCAGGTAGGGAAGGAAGAGTGTAGAAGGAAGACAGAGGTTCACCTGCACATCCGCTAATGTGGTCTACTGCATTCGCTGCTCCTGATGTGGCCTCCTCTACATCGGTGAGACCAAGCGGAGGCTCGGAGACCACTTTGTAGATCATCTACGCTCCGTAAGTGACAGATGACAACACCTTCCGATTGTGAATCATTTTAACCCCCATCCCACTCCCTGGGTGACATGTCCATCCTGGGCCTCCTCCAGCGTCACAATGATGCCACCCAGAAACTGGAGGAGCAGCGCCTCATATTCTGCCTCGGGAACCTACAGCCCATTGGCCTAAACGTGGGCTTTACCAGTTTCAAAATCTCCCCACCCCCGGCCTCATCCCATGGCTAACTCTCCCTCCCATCCCCACCTCCTTGACCTGACACAACCTGTCCATCTTCTCTCCCACCTATTTGCCCCACTCCCCTCACTGACCAATCCCCACCACTCCCTACCTGCACTCAGCTATCACCATCCCACCTACTTTCCCCATCCCAGCCACCCCTCTCTGTTTATTTCTGAGCTCCATTCCCCGCCTCCCCATTTCTGAAGAAGGGTCTCCACCCAAAACGTCAGCTTTCCTGTTCCTCTGATGCTGCCTGGCCTGCTGTGTTCCTCCAGCTCCACACTGTATTATTTCCTGGATTTACCCGTCTTTTAGTCCCAGGCTGCATTTCTGTACCTAGCAATCATTACTATTTATTATAAATAAAAACATTCTTATAAACTTCTGATAAACAATTAATAACTGTTGATACATAAATCTACCAGTTACACCTTTAAACCTCAAAATAAACTCCCCATACAGACGGAAAGGGAGAAACACGGAGTATTATGGTCGAAGGAAACGATGGGAAAGCACTCCAATGGTTCTTGTTCACAGGGATTGCTGAAATGAGGCTTGTTAGTGCATGCTGCTGTATGATCCTTTTTCTCCAGCCAGTGAAGGAGGGTCACTGCACTCGAAATGTTTACTCTGCTTTCTCTCCACAGATGCTGCCAGACCTGCTGAGTTTCTCCAGCAATTTCTGAATTTGTTCCTAATTTGTAAAGTGTCTCTTCATCCCGGTACCAAAGAGAACACATGCAACGTGCCTCAATGACTATCACCTGATGGCTCTGTCCTCCATGATTACAAAGTGCTTCATATCGACCCTTGCCTCCCAGCCTGCCTTGATTGCTTGCAATTTGCCTACCAGTGCATAGCAGATGCCATCTCCCTAGCCCTGCACTCAACCCTGGATCATCTAGATAATAAAGATACCTACATCAGGTTTCTACTTATTGACTACAGCTCCACCTTCAACACTATAATCCCAAACAAACTCACCTCCAAACTCCAAGACCTAGGCCTCAGCTCTGCCCTCTGCAACCCATACCCACAGACCATAATCAGTGAAAATAGGCAATAGCTACTCCTCCACAACAATCCACGACTCCATCACCCTGCAAGGATGTGTACTCAGCCCCTTACTGTACTCCCCATACACACTCAACAGTGTGGCCAAATTTTGTCCAAATTCCATCTGCAAGTTCGATGACAACATCACCACTATAGTCCAGATATCAAACAATGATGAGACAGACTACAGGGGAGAGATAGAGTGCTTGATAATGTGGTGTAAAGATAACAACCTCTCCCTCTACATCAGCAAAATTAATAAGCTGATCATCAACTTCAGGAAGCAAGGAGCAGGGCACACCCCTGTCTACATCAATGGAGCTGAGGTGGAGAGGGTGGGGAGCACTGAGTTCCTCGGAGTGACAATAACCAACACTCTGTCCTGGACCTCCCACATTGATGCAACAGTGTACAAAAACAACTCTACTTCCTCGGGAGGTTTAGGAAATTCAGCATGTCCATAAGGACCCTCACCAATTTTTATAGATGCACCATGGAAAGCATACTGTCCGGCTGCTTCACAGCTTGGTACAGCAACTGCTCTGCCCAGGGCCATAAGAAACTGTAAAGAGTTGTGAACACAGCCCAGTTCATCACAGAAGCTAACCTTCCATCCATTGACTCCATCTACACTTCTCACTGCCTTGGAAAGATACAAAGGCTTAAACACAAACACCAACAGGTTCAAGAACTGTTTCTTCCCTGCTGTTATTAGACTTCTGAATGAATCTTTCCAATTTTAAATCTAATGTTGATCTCACTTGTTACATACCTTCTCTGCAGCCGTAACATTGCATTCCTCGCTCTGTTCTATTACTCAATGATCTTTGTATGGTATGATCTGCTTGTACTGCATGCAAAACAAAACTTTTCACTGTACTAGGGACATGGGACAATAATAAATCAAATCAAAACATTCATAACTTATCCCTGTAGTCCAGGGATCATTCTAGAACCTACATTGTACTCTCCCCAAGGCCAATATACACTTCCCAGGGTGCAGTGCTCAGGCTGCTCACAGCTCCATGTTCCTAAACCATGTTGGCTGATTACCTTGATATTATCTAATATACTCATGGCTTCTTTAATAATACCTTCCAATATTTTCCCTGTGACAGATGTTAAACTAACTGTCATGTTGTTGCCTGCTTTCCATTTTCCTCCCTTTTTGAATAAAGGAGTTACGTTTGCAGTATTCCAATCTAATGGGATCTTCCCTGAATCAAGGCAGTTTTCAAAAATTAAAACAAAAAAAACCAACGATCTCACTTGCTACATATTTTAAGACCCTGGGATGAAGTCCATCAGGACTTGGGTAGCTGTCAGCCGTAGCTCCAACTATTTACTCAGTATCACTTCTCTGTTTCACTCTCCATTCCGTTTCTTCATTTTTAGCTGTTTCTGAGTATTAATTGTAGACTCTATTGCGAAGACTGGTGTAAAATACTTTTTTTTAATCATCTGCCATCTCTTTATTTCCCATTATTGATTCTCCACACCCACGTTCTATGGGTCAAAGACACACTTTTGGAGGAACATGGAATCAGGAGTAGGCTATTCAGCCTTAGAGTTTGCCCTGTCATTCAGGAAAATCATGGCTGATCAAATACTTCAGTGCCTTTTACCCACCCCATTCCCATATGACCCGTTAGCCACTTGTATTTAGAAATCTCCTGGAAGGTAGCAAATACAAAGATTGAACATCCACAACCCTCTTGGATAGAGAATTCCAAAGATTTATAACCCTCTGGGTAAAAACATTTCTCTTTATCTCAGCCTTAAATGGCATTCCCCTTATCTTTAAACGGTGACCCCAGTTCATGACTCCCCCACTAGAGGTAACATCTTATCTACATCTACCCTGTGTGTGAACCCTCATTGATTTTTCATTGTTTTTTTCTGTTATCAATTTTGGTTTGGAGCTGTGAACTGAGAATTGTGAGCTGAAAATGGACTGTGGTAAAAGGAAAAGAACAGACCAAACATTTGCTTGTTTGCAAGGCCAGTTTAGAGTTAATGCCCATCCCTAATTGCCCAGGGGGCAGTTAAGAGTCAACCATGTTGCTGTAGGTCTGGAGTCACATGTAGACTGGACCAGGTAAGGATGGCAGTTTCCTTCCTTAAAGAACATGAGTGAACCAGATGGGTTTTTCCACAATTGGCAATGGATTTATGGTCATCATTACACTCTTAACCTCAGATTTTTTTTATTGAATTCAAATTGCACCATCTGCCATAGCAGGATTCAAACACAGGTTCTCAGAGCATTACCTGGGTCTCTGAATTAACAGTTCAGCAAAACGACAACGGAGCCATTACCTTCCCTGCTGATTGGCTGATCTATCTCAGCCTCCTCCTGAGGTCCCCAGCAACACAGATGCCAGTGTTCAGCCAATTAGATTCACTCCAATAATAACAAGAAATGGTTGGAAGTACTGTAAATGCTAAGGCCATGATAATATTCTGGCAATGGTACTAAAGATCTGAGCACCAAAACTTGCTGCACACCTTGCCAAATTGTTGCTGGTTAGCGACAGCACTGATATCTACCCGACAATGTGGAGAATTGCCCAAATGAGTCCTGTACACAAAAAAGCAGGACAAATCCAACCTGACCAGTGACCGCTCTTTCAGATTGTTAGCAAACTGATGAGGGCGTCGTCAGCAATATGATCAAGCAGCATCTGCTCAGCACTCAATTTGTGTTTCGCCAGGGCCACTCAGCTTCTGACCTCATTACAGCCTTGGTTCCAACATGGACAAAAGAGCTGAATTCCAGAGGTGAGGTGAGAGTGACAGTCCTTGATATCAAGGCTGCATTCGACCGAGTGTGGCATCAAGGAGCCCTGGCAAAACTGGAATCAATGGGTATGAGGGGGCAAACTCCCTGCTGGTTGGAGACACAGCTGATACACAGGAAAGTGGTTGCAGTTCTTGGAGGTCAATCGTCTCAGCTCCAAGACATCTCTGCAGGAGTTCCTCAGGATAGTGTCCTAGGCCCAACCATCTTCAGCTGCTTCATCAATGACCTTCCCTCCATCATAAGGTCAGACGTGGGAATGTTCGCCGATGATCGCACAATGTTCAGCACCATTCATGCCCCTTCAGATACTGTAGCAGCCCATTTCCAAAAGCAGCAAGGTTTTTGGGCTGGGGCTGACAAGTAGTAAGTATCATTCACACCATACAAGTGCCAGACAATGGCCATCTCCAACAAGAGAAAATCAATCCATTATCCTTTGACATGCAATGGTATTACCTTCACTGATTTCCCCCAATTTCAACATCCTGTGGTTAACATTGACCAGAAATTGAACAAGTCACATAAATACTAATCAAAAAACAAAGAACTGCTGGAAAAAAACAGAAATTTCTGAAGAAAGTCAGCAGGTCTGGTAGCATCTATGGAGACAAAGCAGGGTCAATGTTTTCATAAGACATAGTAAATTTTGGCCATGTGGCTGATTGAGACTGCTCTACTGTTCAATTAGGGGAGGCAATCGCCTAATGGTATTATCACTGGACTGTTAATCAGGAGACTAAGATGATGTTCTGGATTCGATTCTCACCACGGCAGATGGTGGAATTTGAATCCAATAAATATCTGGAACTAAGAATCTAATGATGACCATGAATCCATTGCTGATTGTTGGGAAAACCCATCTGTTCACTAATGTTCTTTAGGGAAGGAAACTGCCATCCTTACCTGGTCTGGATCACATATTACTCCAGACCCACAGCAATGTGGTTGACTTTTAACTGCCCTCTGGGCAATTCGGGATAGGTAATAAATGCTGCCCAAAACCAATGCCCTCATTCCATAAATGAATAAAGGATCATTACTGATATGTTTCTCAACCCCATTGTCCTGTCTTCTTCCTATATCATTTAATCCCCTTACCAATCAAGGATCTATCTATCTCTGTCTTATATATACTCAATGCCTTGGCCTCCACAGCCTTCTGTGGCAATGTGTTTCACAGAGTCACCACTCTCTGGCTGAAGAAACTCCTCATCTCAGTTCTAAAGGGTCATCCCTTCACCCCGAGGCCAGTGCCTCAGGTCCTAGTTTCTCCCATTAATGGAAACAGCTTCTCCATGTCCACTCTATCTAGGCCTTTCAGTATTATGTAAGTTTCAAAGACATCCCCCCCATCTTTCTAAACTCCATCGAGTATGAATCCAAAGTCCTCCTTATCAAAATGCATAACCTGACACTTTCCCACATTGTATTCCATCTGCCACTTCTTTCCCCAGTCTCCCAGCCTGTTCAAGTCCTTTTACAGCCTCCTGCTTCCTCTACACTACCTGTCCCTCTACCTAGCTTTGTGTTACCTGCAAACATAGCAACACACCCTTGGTTCCTTTATTCAGATCATTAATGTCTAACATGAACAGTGAACCCCGTGGAACTCTGGCTGCCAACCTGACAAAGACCCCTTTATCTGCATTGTCTTCCTTTTGCCAGTCAGCCAGTCCTATATCCATGCCAATACTTTACCCCTAACACCATGGGCTCATCTTATTTACCAGCACCTTGTCAAAGGCCTTCTGGAAATCCAAATAAATCATGTCCACTGGACCCTCTCTTGTCTAAGTTGCTTGTTACCTCCTCAAAGAATTCTAAAATGTTCATCAGACATAACCTCTCCTCAACAAGGCCGTGCTGGCTCAACCCAGTTTTACCACATACTTCCAGGTACTTTCGTAATCTCATCCTTAATACGGGAATCTGAACTCTTACCAACGACCGAGATCAGGCCAACCCACCTACAATTTCCTGTCTTCTATCACCCTCCCTTCTTAAAAAGGGATGTTACATTAGCTATTTTCCAGTTCTCTGGGACCCTCCCTAACTCCAGTGATTCCTGAAAGATCAGCACCAGTGCATCTACAATCTCCTCAGCTATCTCCTTCAGACCTTTCAGCTTTCCTAGCCTTAGTAATGGCCGCTACACTCCTCTGCTCTTCCATTTTCTTGTGTGTCCAGTGACCCTTCTTCAGAACTGATTGTAGCTAGGAAAGGGTTGGTAAATATGCTGAAGTAGGGATGGGAGTGGGTGGGGTGGAGTGGAGTGAACAATTGGTGGAGATCGTGTCCAGAGACTGAGAACAGTAGTTCGGCAGACAAAGGAATGGCTAACAGTGAACTGGAAAGAAATGAAAGCTGCTAATGGGGACCATTAGTGGGTGACAATGGGTTGGCTGTCGTGAAACCAGCCCATGTTGATGATAGGGCCTAGAGTGTGGAGGTGTGGTAAGGGCATGGAGTGAGGTGCTCATGCCCTAAAATTACTGAATTCAATATTGAGTCCTGAAGGCTTCAGAGTCCCCAAGCAAAAACTGAAGTGCTGTTCTTCCAGCTTGTGTTGAACCTCGCGGAAGCACTGCTGCAAAGAGAAATATTGGCCAGGGAATAAAGCAATGTGCTAAGTGGTAGGTAACTGGAATCTCAGGGTAATTATTGCCACCAGAATGCAAAACAATCAACCAGGCGGCATTTTGTCTCCCCAGTGTAGAGGAAGAGACCTCTCTGCAGACAGGCAGACACCCGAACATGCAATGAACAAAAGCTGTGTTGAATGTTGCCAACAGCAAAGATTCCTTATTAAACTTCATGTTCTATTAGCATTTCATGCAGCAAATTTGCTAAAAACTTTGATTCATGTCAATGCTGGCATGATCTCATGCATCAATAGATTTGCAGCTGGATCAATGTGGTGTGATACTCAAAATCTTCAAAGTATCCAAGCATCCCAATCAAACACTTTGAGCCAAATTTACTACACAAAAGAAGAATGAAACAGTTATGCCTATGGCAGTTTAAAAAGATCGTAAGGTAGACAGCAAAACAAAGTTTCAGCCGAGTTTTTCACAGAATTTCATAGAATCCCTACACAGTGTGGAACAGGCCCTTCGGCCCAACAAGTCCACACCGACCCTCAGACATCCCACCCAGACCCGTCCCCTATAACCCACCTAATCTACACACCCCTGAACACTACGGGCAATTTCCCATGGCCAATCCACCTAACCTGCGCGTCTTTGGACTGTGGGAGGAAACCGGAGGAAATCCACGCAGAAAATCCTCTATAAGGTACTCAATCTCAGAGAAATATCATTTCTATCTCAACTCTTCCATTTCTTACTTAATTGATATTCCGAGTTCTCCTTCTGGATTACTGGGATCGTTTTACCACTTCACTCTGACTATGCCGACATGAAGGTATTTCAATTCTAATGGCGTACACCTCTTGTCAATTTTAACAACTTGAAGACCTATCGGCTTGGAAGCTTCACAAAGTAAAAACATTTCTGTTCGGGTGATCGGTTCTCCTGACCTGAAAACGGTGTTCTTCCGCTAGGAGTAAACCGTTCTCCTGAACTCTACCCTCAACTCTTCGGAATTAAACTCAAACCTGCCCTAAAAGCAGCAGCACAAACATTTCATCGTTTACTAACCCAGACCCGCTGCTGGGCAGTTTACTAAATGACATGCCTCACATCTCTAGCTCCCTGTTCCAAATGACCCTCTGATATCCTAATACAACAGTTACTGCACAGAACTGAAACAACATATTGCCTCTAACTTTAAGAAAATCAAATGCCACTTATCACACAGCAAAGAAGGAGGCCATTCTGCCCATCAGGCTTGTGCTAGTGTATTGAAGATCCATTTGGCTGCAGCTGTATTTGAAAGTCGAACTGCCCTCTGTGTGAGCTCCTTTAAGTACCATTCTCTGTTAGATATGGCAATGCACACAGATCGTCAACGAAAAGCTAGGTTCCCTGTTAACTCCCAATGCCCAATCATTAAAGTGCCCATTTCTCTCAGTGCCAATCCTACCCACCTGGGTGCACAGGCTCTGCCTGGGACACACAGGGAAGATGGATGGGGGTGGAGGGGTGAGGTGGAGGGGAAGCCTTCCATCTCCCCCCGGGATCTATCCAGCTCCAACACACCCCTGTGACAGAGACACACAGACAGGTCCCCCAGAGTCGGAGCGGGCACCGCTGCCCGGCTGTACCCTCAGTAAACACAGAGAGAGAGAGAAATATTACCTGCCCCAGTGAAAACAAGGATTAAAAGAGATCCTGCTGCACAGCGCGGAGACAGTTTGAAATCCATCACTAAGTGGTCCCGAGCAGCCAGTTCTGGGAGAAATCTGGTGGGGGACACTGTTGAAGTTGTCACAACCGGAGCTGCCTCGTGTGTGTGTGTTCTGTGTGTAGCAGCCTGGAGCAATTAATGCGATAGGGGCAACACGGCAGCTTCGCCTTTTATCCACCAACACATTGCTTTGTTTTGATGTGTTTTCATCTACTTTCTAATAGCGTTTCCTCCTTTTTTTTCCACAGGGAGCAAGTTTGGTAAACTCACGTCAGGATTCCTGACGTCAACCTATTTCTCTGGAAGCGGATAATCATTAAAACTGTCTCGACCATAACTCCAAGGTATTTAGCTCTGGCATTACAATTCTGCGGAAAACCGTGTCACTTAGCGGATCCTGCTCAGATGTGTGCTGGTATCAGATATTCCAGGAGCCGCAAGTTTGGCAGAATCATATCTGGGTTCTTACACACCCTCTCAGTTCTCATTTCACAAATGCTGCAATGTGCGTTACTTTGGCAGACAGGACATCTTACAGATGTGTCTGAGCTGTAACAAATGTATTAAAACATTGAAAGAAAAATATTTTAAATTGATAACAGGAGACCAAATTCTTCTGCTGATCTTCTGCCCCATCATATCTGCTGCCTTCGGCTTTCTGGGTGACAGAGGCTGTGTGTTTGGAAGGTTTGGAATAAAGGTTCCAGGAAAGAATCTGGGCTTAGTCCACAGGATATTGTTTTATACGCTTATTGGAAAAATAGATTGGACTTTTCTGGTTCCCTGGGGACATAAGTGACTATGTTAGAACAATAGGGTCACAGATCTGTACAGCACGGAAACAGACCCTTCGGTCCAACTTGTGCATGCTGACCAGATATCCTAAATAAATCTAGTCCCATTTGCCAGCATTTGGCCCATATCCCTCTAAACCCTTCCTATTCATGTACCCATCCAGATGCCTTTTAAATGTTGTGCTTGTACCAGCCTCCACCACTTCCTCTGGCAGCTCATTCCATACATGCACCACCCTCTGCGTCAAAAAATAACCCCCTGGGTCCCTTTTAAATCTTTCCCCTCGCACCTTAAACCCATGCCCTCTAGTTTTGGACTCCCCCACGCAAGGAAAAGACTTGTTTATTTATCCTACCCATGTCCCTCATGATTTTATAAACCTCTATAAGGTCACCCCTCAGCCTCCGATGCTCCAGGGAAAATAGCCCCAGCCTATTCAGTCTTTCCCTATAGCTCAAGCCCTGCAACCCTAGCAATATCTTTGTAAATCTTTTCTGAACCTTTTCAAGTTTCACAACATCCTTGTTATAGCAGGGAGAACAGAATTCCACACAGTATTCCAAAAGTGGCCCTAACCAATGTCCTGCACAGCCACAACATGACCCTCCCAACTCCTATACTCAATGCACTGACCAATAAAGGCAAACATCTTCTTCATTATCCTATCTACCTGCAACTGCACATTCAAAGAATTATGAACCTGTACTGCAACTTCTCTTTGTTCAGCAACACCACCCAGGACCTTATCATTAAGTGTTGTAAGTCCTGCCCTGATTTGCCTTTCCAAAATGCAGCACCTCACATTTATCTAAATTAAACTCCATCTGCCACTCCTTGGCCCATTGGCTCATCTGATCAATGTCCCATTGTACTCTGAGATAACCCTCTTCACTGTCCACTACACCACCAATTTTAGTGTCATCTGTAAACTTACTAACCATACCTCCTATGTTCATTTATATAAATGAGGAAAAGCAGTGGACCCAGCATTGATCCATGTGGCACACTGCTGATCATATGCCTTCAGTCTGAAAAGCAACCCTTCACCATCACCCTCTATCTTCTACCTTTGAGCCAGTTCTGTATCCAAATGGCTAGTTCTCCCTGTATTCCACGTGATCTAACCTTGCTAACCAGTCTACCATGAGGAATCTTGTCAAGCGCCTTACTGAAGTCCATATAGATGACCAATTTGAAATTATTTTTTCTCAGAATGAGGTCATGTTTAAGGTAGAGACATGTTTCCATTTGCACCTGCTGAGAGTATGGTAAGGGGTATCCAGCTTTTCTGATAAACCGCTCTTTATTAGTTATGGCCCACCCAGCATCTCAGCTACCTTCTCATTCACTTACACTTCAGAAGTACCTTCTTCCTTGGTACAGACAGATGCAAAGTATTCATTTTGCACCACAGCCAGGCCCTCTGCTACCATGCACTAATTACCTTTTTGGTCCTTAATTGGTTTCACCCTTACTTTTACTTTTCATCAAATTTCTAATAGCATTTCTGTTTTTTTTTCCCAGAGGGAGCTTTGGCAAGTTTGCTAAACAGACATCAGACATAACCTTTCTAATCTAAGGTTTCTTTGGACAGAAATAATCCATTAAAAATATTTCAGCCTTAAGTCAAAGGCATTTAATTTTGACAGTAAAATTCTGTGGAAAGCCATGTTAATACAAATCCTGCTCAGGTATGTGTTTTACTATTTACAGATCTTTTACTATTTACATGCCTACAGGAGACTTTTGCATTTCTTCATATTTTAGCTGCCAATCTCCTCTTAATTTCTCTTTGCTTCTCATATTTCTTATTTCACTTCGTTCCTGATTTATTTTCTATTCCACCTTTGAATTAAAAGCCTGACCAGCCATGTACAATGCCTGTTGTTCTATTCCAATCTGGCCTGTTGATCTTTAATTCCAGTTTATCTTGGTAAGATCTGTTCTCATCCACTAACATAATTCTGATTAATTATTTTTACCCTGGATTGCTCCTTACACCTTCCATAGCTAACCTCACCTTATGATGCTATGATCATTGTTCCCCTAATGTTCCCCTACTAACCCTGATCCATGTGACCCACTTCAATTTCCCATGACTGGATTTAGTAATGACTCAATTCCTTTGTTAGATTAAAAACATACTGAGATGGTAAATTCTACGGAAAACACTTCAGAGCTCTTTCTTCCAGCTGTCCTTTATATTATTGTTGCCTCAAGTGATCTTCTGATATTTAAGCCAAATCCCCCTCCCACATCCATGATAGCAACACTATTGATTTTCTTCTCTTGCAGTTTCTTTGCAAGTTTGCTTTTTTTTCATTTACTTGTGGGATGTGGACATCGCTGGCTGGCCAGCATTTACTGCCCATCCCTAGTTGCCCCCTTTGAGAAGGCGATGGTGAGCTGCCTTCTTGAACTACTGCAGTCCATGTGCTGTAGGTAGACCCACAATGCCTTTAGGCATGTCTTTCTCTGAACACTGCAGTGAACCTAACACACAGTGTCATCTTGCACACTGTCATGACTAGCTGATGGAATAAAATGACTCCTCTGCATTTGAATATCGCACAAGTCTCAAATCATAAAGGACATATGTTGCCAGTTTACAATGTATAGTTAACCATTTAGGTACTGATTACGAAATAAGTTAAACAAGGAAGAGGTGAGTTTTAATCTATTAAAACCAATGCGGATAAAAGTATTATAAAAATTAAAAATTAAAAATGTCCAATATTCTGCTGACATATGCAGCATACACTCAAAACCATGTAAAAATACAAATTACAGAGTACATGACATTAACCTTAATGAAGAGCACATAAAAGGAAAAGAAGATAAAAATTCATTGTGTCTGGAGGCTTCCATTCTAATACAACGAAACCATAAGACCTGAAGAAATAGGAACAGGAGGCGGCTCTTTAGTACTTGAGCCTGCTCCACCATTCAGTAAGATCATGGCTGATTCAGTATTCCTCACGTCCACTTTCCTGGGTTTTCACCATAACCTTTGGTTTACCCACTAGCTATCCCAGCCTTAAATATACCCAAGGATTAAGCTTTCTGTGGCAAGGCGTTCCAAAGACTCACAACCTGAACCTCTGAGAGAAGAAATTTCTCCTCATCTCAGTTTTAAAATGGTGCCACTTTAATATGAGACAATGTCCTCTGGTCCTAGACTCTCCCATGTGGGTAAACACTGTCTCAGTATTTACCCTGTCAAGCCCACTTAAGAATCCCATGTGGTTCAATGAGGTCACCTCTCATTCTTTTAAACACCAGTGAGTACAGTCCCAACATGTTTAGCCTTTGCTCATAAGACAATCCCTCCAAACCGGGGATCATCCTAGTGAACCTTCTCTGAACTGCCTCCAATGAAATGATATCTTTCCTTAAATAAGGGGACTAAATTGAATACAGGAGTTGGGATGTCATGTTACAGCTGTACAAGTCATTGGTTAAGGCCACATTTTGAGCACTCATACAGTTCTGGTCACCCTGCTATAGGATGGATGTTATTAACCTGGAAAAGGTGTAAAATTGATTTACAAGGATGTTACCAAGATCAGAAGGTTTGAGTTATAAGGAGAGGCTGGATCAGCTGGAACATTTTTCCCTGGAGTGTAGGATGCTGAGGGGTGACTTTATGGTTGTATATAAAATCATGATGATTGTATATAAGTTGAATAGCCAAGGTCTTTTCCCCAGGTAGGGGAGTCCAAAACTAGAGGATATATGTTTAGGGTGAGAAAGGTAAGATTTTAAAGGGACCTGAAGGGCAACTTCTTCACACAGAGGGTGGTGCATCTATGGAAGGAGGTGGTAGAGGTGGGTATAGTTACATCATTTAAAAGACATTTGGACAGGTACATGGATGGGAAAGGTTTAAGGTGACATGGGCCAAATACATTGGACTGAAGGGTCTGTTTCTGTGCTGTACAACTCAATGACTCTATGAAAACTTTTTCCCATCCTCCAGATGTGGTCTCACCAGCACCTTGTACAGTTGCTGTAAGACTTCCCTACTCCTATACTCTGGCTCCCTTGAAATAAGGGCCAACATTCCATTATCCTTCCTGATTACCTGCTGCACCCTGTGTGTCTGTATTTCATGTACAACTATCCCCAAGTCCCTCTGTGTTGCAGCTTTCTGCAGTTTCTCTCCATTTAAATAATATTCTGTTCTTTGGTTCTCCCTTCCAAAATGAACAACTTCACATTTTCCCACATTATACTCCACTTGCCGATGTTTTGCACACTTATTTAACCTGTAACTATCTTTCTGTAAACTGTTTGTATCCCTCTCACTCCTGTCTTTCCACCTATTTTTGTGTTGTATGCAAATTTGGCTACAGTATTTTCACTTCCTTTCTCTAAGTCATTAATATATTGTGAACAATTGTGGTGCCAGCACTGGTTCCTGTGGAACCCCACTGATCACATTACACCACCTTGAAAAAGAAACCCTTATCTCCATCGCTGTTACCTGCCCATGAGCTCATTCTCTCTCCATGCCAATACACTACCTCCAATACTGTGGGCTCTTACC